GTGTGTGTGTGTGTGTGTGTGTATGTGTATGTGTATGTGTACTGGTTTATATATCCTGGTGGGGACTTAAACCTGACTACACACAGACTCATGGGGACTGGTGTCACGGTGGGGACCTAAATTGTGGTCCCCACGGGTACAAAAGCTTATAAATCATACAGAATTAAGTTTTTTGAAAATCTAAAAATGCAGAAAGTTTCCTGTGAGGGGTAGGGTTGGTGTAGGGCAATAGAATATACGGTCTGTACAGTAGAAAAACCATTACGCCTTTGGAGAGTTCCCACAAGGATAGCTGACCAGACTGTGTGTGTGTGTGTGTGTGTGTGTGTGTGTGTGTGCGTGCGTGCACGTGCACGTAAACATACATAAAATATTTTTTATTCGGCTTCAAGTTTTCTATACAAAACAAGCAAAAAGAAATAATTTACAACAAATAATTGTAAATCAAATCAACCGTTTAGAATTCAATTCACAACAACATTAAGTGCATCACAGAAAGTTACTGTATTATATGATGACATATGTAATTATTTGCTGAGTGCTTATTTTTTATATCATAACATTTGAACATAATTGTGTTTCTTTACTCTAAAGTAATATTTAAACACTGCTTATGTCTACAGACACAGTATACAAACGCTATTATTGCAGGGCATTTTTTTATAGAGTTTTATATAGTTTCCTTTAAACAAATATATACTTATTTGTAACTTTTGTGTATTTTAAAATAGAGAGCAAAAGGAGTTGTTTATATTGGTATAAATGCATTGTTTTAATTACAAATCTCGCTCAAATCATAACAGGCAGCTGAAGATGTCAATGTAACATTTGAGGACCAGCAAAAGATCAACAAGTTTGCCAGGAATACAAATCGGATGTCTGAACTTAAAGATGAAATTGAGGCCAAAAAGGTGAGTAATTGGTTTGATTTGTATACATTTTGGGTTGCATTTTGTTCAGGCAGATGCTGATCAAACCCTTTTTTGTAGAAATCTTTACAGAATCTAGAGGATGCCAGTGATGACCTCATGATGTGTGAGGATGATGCAATGCTGATCCCGTATCAGATCGGAGACGTGTTCATCAGTCACTCTCAAGAAGAGACGCAGGAAATGCTGGAGGCAGGGAAGGTGACAAACCAAACCCTGTGTGTTTGTGTGTGTTGTGCATGAATCTGGAAAACCTTGTAGCCTAATTGTTAAAGATCTGGGCTGGAAAGCTTGGAGGTTGAAATCTCACAAGAGTCGTGATCAGAGCCGGCCCGACCTAATAAGCGATATAAGCAGTGACATAAGGCCCCATGTCAGGGTTCAGACAGTAATGCTCAGTAATAATAACTTTGATAAAGTTTCAGTCGCATGTGTTCATGTTTGAAAATGAAGAGGTGGCACTATAAAACTGGTGCTGACTGCAGGGAAGTGGAAAAAGAAAAGAAAGTGAGCAAGATAAGCGTAAGTGATGGATTTTGAAAATATGTTGTTGAAATGGCAGTTGCTGCATCGTGCTGTGAGCGCTTTGAAGACATGCTGTGCCAATGAGAATGAACGGTATTGTTGTCTTGGGCACTTCAAAATACGTGAATAATTCTAGTTCTGTCATGACAACTCTCGGAGGGATTGGCATGGTAATGTACATGACAATGTTAATGTATTTGGTCTTGGCAGAATAGATCTGCTTCGCTGCTGCTAGTACCGAGACTTGCTACTGCCAATACATCCACAACATGCTGCTGTGAGCATGTAAGAAATATTGCTGCTGCAAATATAACATACATGAAATAACCCCCATATAGTATCAATGAATCACTTTGTAGCAGATCTATACAGGTGGAGCTGGGGAAGGTGGAGGGTTTCTGAAGCAAGCTGCAACTGCTACTGCAAGCACTAGTCATATATTTGAATGTTGAGCAGCGAGCTCATTGGCTACCGATACAGAAGAGAACCAATCAGCTGTGCCATGTGATAATGATGTCATTAGGTCAGATTGAGTTATACCTATCGGACTGCGCCTTCTAGAGTTTCATGCCAGAACTCTGTATTTATCTTATTATCTGAATGGTTAAGATTTTTAGAACGCACATTCTTATTTTCCATTTACAACACTGCACGCTTACTGCAACTAATATTAATTAATTATTCTCTTTAATTTTCATAAACACAGATGTTGTTGCTTTATTAAAGCATTAATCTAACTAAATATTCATATTTTTCTGAAAGCAATGCTTAAACTTTTAAATAGTTAAAAAAAGTCATTTTTGGTCATTTTCATTGGTCATTGTTTACACCAGGGTTATTTTAGTTAACAAATTAAAAATACTAAACATTTTTGTTACTTGAAATAAAATACTTTGACTCTTTTATTTTAGCTAGGTGACAAGGCAACATTTCCCATAGCTTGATGTTCTAAAAGAAACTAAAATAAAATGTAATAACTATATAGGCATTTATAAACAACAAAAACAAACAATAAAATGACTAAAACTTGAACAAATGAAAATGACAGCAAAAAATGTAAAAAATAATTAACATAAATGGAAAAAAAAAGTATAATAACACCTTAATGATATTAATATAACATTGCTTTTCAATAATCAATATTCAATAGTCAGTGTAAGATGTATACAATGGAGGATGGGGGGTGGTTATGGGGGGGCCTCTTTTGAAAATCTGCTTAGGGCCCCTAAAATGCTGGGGTCGTAATCATTGTGTCTTTGCACATGACTTAACCTCAGGTTACTGCAGGAGGATGAATAATATGTCTACTAGTTTTATTAGCAATGAAACGTTTGCATTATTTTATAAATATTTTTCTTTTTGCTAGTATAGCTGTTTTTTTTTTTTTTTTGGCATACCTGCACAAGGCTGAACAGTGCTAGCATTTCACTCGCATTTGCGACAAAAAATATACGTGTGCAAACTGTAAAATATATTTAGGAGCAAATGTGAATAAAAATAAGTCAGTGCAGGTATTTAAAAATATCTTAAATTTTATGACATTTTAAGAGATCTTAAATTTTGCGACAGAAGAGCAGGAATCGCGATACAGGCTGATATTATACAATTTCAAAAGGCATAAATGAGCGCTGCATGTTTCAGAGGCAAAATGCAGCGCTGTTACTTGCTCTACATGCTTACCGTTTCAGAGCAGTATACAATCAATGAAAACCGCGCATTTATGCCAGTTGCTTAGGATCGACTGTTGATGAATTGACATTGTTTACTTTATGGTGTTTATTGCAGATGGTTGCAAGAGTGTATATTTTATCTCCCCCATCTTTTTGAATGAGCAGCCAGCAAGAGTAAAGCTTATTTCAAAATAAGAGTCCCAGTGTATTTCAGGCTTGTTCATTATTAAAAGTCCTGCATTATGGGTGTTTTTTTTTTCTTGGTTAATATTGGTATTTTGGTTACACAATAAACTTTATCTAGCATTTTATTAAAGGGGTCATATGACGTTGCTAAAAAAAAGAACATTATTTTGTGTATTTGGTGTAATGAAATGTTTATGCGGTTTAAGGTTCAAAAACACATTATTTTCCACATACTGTACATTATTGTTTCTCCTCTTTGCCCCGTCTTTCTGAAACGCGTCGATTTTTACAAAGCTCATCGTTCTGAAAAGCAAGGTGTGCTCTGATTGGCCAGCTATCCAGTGCGTTGTG